TCCACGGTCGGATGCTGGGAATCATGACAACTACTATGACAGACGACTTCGGACTAGGTGCGTTCTACATGGCTTTCCTGACAACAAGACCAAGTTGCGACAACGAGGTCAACCCACTTCTATCAATCGAAAGGAGACTGCGACCATAACAGACGCCATAACATCTTGGTCTTTATACATAAATAATTATAAATAGATACGAAGAAAAACTGGGTTTCCAGAGGTTAAATATCTTGGTCTTCATATATTCAATTGACTAGATTATGCCTTAGCAGCATGACTGGAGGAATCGGCATTAACTGAAAAATTGAGAAACTCTCGTGGTAAAGCAACACTAAAACACGACCCCCTTATTACTAAGTCATTCCTAAAGTACACCATAATATGTGGATTTGCTTGGGGAAATATGAATGAATGGGACTGTTGTGATGCTCATTATTTGAGCTAATGTCGGTGCGGAAGAGTTTGATGATCAGATCTCGGTTTACTTCAGAGGTCTGTATTTATAGTCCCTTTAAAATCTCTGTCCTCCAGCCTGTATGGTGTGCTCGTGCCTACATCTACCTGGTAGTAATCGACTATGACTTTTATTATTGAAATCAGCCTGTATTTGTGGACATGAGAAGCATAAGAAACGTGAATGAATGTGAACATACACGGGTTAGTAGTGGGCTCGTCTAGACACAAATAAATGGCTCCAACAGTGCGCCGAATCCCAAACACTTGATTAGGACTGGCGATCGCCGGTTCCATAAGAATCCATGCCGACCAGCCGAAGGAGAACATGCCGAAGAACATACTGCAGAGTGCCATCGTCATGCTGATTGCGACCACAACTTTAAGCAAGTTAAGCGGAAAGATGTGGCATCGAGTCGCTGTGTCGGCCTGCGAAGTGATTGACAGCCGATCGTCCATACTGTGGAGAAATTCGTCGGCGCGATGGTAAACAGACGTAAACTTGCAGAGGTCTGCGAAGGCTGTCAATTGGGTTGAGCTTACCGGAAGACTAAGCTCATGAAAATAGAGATCAGTGTTTGGGAAAAAGTTGGAGTCAACGTATGTGAATTAATTATTGCTATAAAGACCCCTTTGTCTAGTTATCGCGCAGACCGCCGAAATTCTGACCTAATTCAAATAGTAAATTCATTCGGCGGTTGCGCCTATTTTGACCGAAAATGTTTATGGTTTTTGTCATAGAAGAAGATTAAAACCTTTGTTATGCTTTCTATTCTTCATTTTCTTTTAATACATTGGCTCCTTTGCATGACCACTAGTTTCACGGCTCCATCATATTTGTGTTGACCCATTTTTCCTTTTTCCCCCATTTATTTGCTTTCCTTCCGTGTCCAAATTTTGCTCATTTAACTGGTTATTTCCCTTAGCCTGACCTGTTTCACTTTATTCGTCATTTTACTCACTTCCAGTCTTTTTTTTCCGCTTTTCATACTCTTATAGCTAACATCTGCGACCCTTTAAATCCTTTTCACTTTCTTTAAATTTTTTATCATCATATTTCAATAATCTTACTCTTATTAATTGGTTCATCCTCTCTTCTTCCTTTTATATTTTGTACGTGTATTCCCGCTTTGATTTGATCAGTGTTTTACCATTTACACTTTTCCTTACTTTATTCATTAACTGCTTTGCCGAACAATTTCGCTTCTCTAAGTCTGATTATGAGTATTAAATAACCAACATGTAATACAATACAGAGTAAACAATAATAATTTGACCATGGGGATACCGAAAGTTTAATTAAGAAGCTGTATTTTTATGTGGATAAATATGAATATATAATACCAGAATAAGAAGAAATGTTGTCTGATCTGGTTGATATTAAAATAAAAGTTAGTTAGTAAGAATGAATGTATTTTTAAATGACAGATATTTTAAGTTGTTTGACCCTGTCTCCGCAACTTGGTCATATTGGCAGGATGACCTAGAGGAACGCACCTAGTCAGGAGTCCATTGTATGCATCATCATTTCCTGAGTAGGAACGTGGACGCTTCGCCGGCATCGTCCGTGAGTCTCACCATTCGTAGCACCATGTTACAAACTCGTCAAAGAGACAAGTGAAGTCGATCCTTTGACCAAATGTCTGCTAAACTGTTGTGGTAGCTATCCTTCTGTCTGGGCTATTCACCTTTCCCATCTCCTCACCTCACCTCTTCAATACCACAATGTCTTACTTGCTTATCTAGACCTATTTGAAATCTATTCACACTCCCCGTTGGTTTCCTC